AGCGGTATAGCTGACGGAGGGGGAAAGGTCGAGACGGGGTCTGCAGCGAGAACGTTAATTAGGAGCGCTAATTAATACCGGCACCGCCTTTTGATTATAGTGAGGCATGCTGTGCTTATGATTTCACTCATTTTAAGTTGTTTTTTTTATCAAGTTCTGTCTTGATGAGTAGCTTACAGGATGATGCTGGCAGGATAGTGCAGACAGGGGTCAAAGGTCAGGGGTCATGCCCTCATACCAGCATTCCATCCCACGGCGTACAAGCGGCCCCTGAACTTTTTACTGTCATTATTTCCTCCTCCGTACTTCTCAGGATCTGTGTGCTCATCTTTTCCGCAAGGTGCCTCGTGCTGATTCGATTACACACGCCGACGGGGTCGTCTGAGGGCTCGCTCGCTTCCCGGCAACCATCCAGCAAGCTGCGGTGCCCTCTGTAGGATTATTATGGGATTGACCCAGGGCTTCTCTTCAGAGAAGAAAAATGAGGCTCTCTGAATTTTTAGATAAACCCCAAGTGAGCAAGATTTCCTTAAGCACCTCAAACACAGACACTTCTGTCCTCGATTCAGGTTCCTTGTCACGTGTATCCAGTAGGGGGCATTATGTAAAGACTGAAGAATGTATAAGGATTATGGTGCAGTATCTCCTTCTGCATATCAGGAGCTGGGCCTCTCCGGTGTCCAATTTGTGCTCTGTAGAAACTGACCTGGGATCAGTGGACTGAAGTTACAGCAAAGGTCAACCTTAGGAGATTCGGCAAAGGTTTGACAGCTCGGGAGTCCATTTTTCGTGGGGGAGAGGGTGCTTGGTCAGCGTGGTGAAGAAGAAACCACTGGCCGGCCGTGTGAGTCATGCTCAGTGTAGTCTATGCTGCCCCCCCCCCACACCTGAACAGCTGGGGAGTTTCTCATCAGCATGGTCGGGCGTGTCTCCTACACTTCTCTGAACCCTACAGTATCCATTTTGGCTCCTCAGGCAACCAATCAGGGGGCATCAGTGTTCAAACATCCTTCATTTATCTTTATTTCACTCCACTATTTTCTTCCTTGAGTTGAGTTGCAAGTTCTGGCTGTAGGTGTAGTCTGTAGAAACCCAAGCAGGTGAAATGCTCTTCGCAAACAAGCAGTCCAGAAAGTGGGGGAGAGTCACCCCCATTCCCTGCACATTGGTCAGCCCGAGCAGGCTGGCACGGTTAGACTGGAGCGGCTCACTTCTGCTCCATGGGGGTCCCATGTGGGTTCCCAGAATAAAATAAGAACGGGCCTGGCTACTGCAGAGCGGGAGAGGGATGGAGAGGGACACGGAATGCCGGGGTGGGGTGGGGTTGTGGTAGTGTTTGTTCAGTTCTCCTATTATGCAGTCTATCAAACAGGTGAACGGGGGGGGGGGGGGGGGGGGCAGGAATGCGGGAACAGTGCCCCCCAAAGAGACGCCCCAGCTTGTGAAATAAGAATGG